CCGTTTTGAATGGCTTCCCAAACACCATTGTCATATGAGTTGACATGAATTTGCATACAAGCTTTCCAATAACTATAATTTTATCATGTAACAATTGGGGCTCTTTTATATTCCTCTTTAGGTTCATAAGCCATTTTCTAAAAGTGTCGAAGCCAGAATGAACCGGGCTCTTGATGCCACTTGTTAGACGATGAAAACATATCTAGAAGGGGAGTGAATCGATACCCCTTTTTAAAATTTATACAAAAATTTGATTATGAAAAATTGTTTTATCAAAGAGCGACATAAAAACTTTTTCAAAATATCGTTTGTACGAACATTATTGGAAATTCGGATATGAAAACCGTAACAATAAATTCAATATGGAATAAGAACAACAAATTGAATTAATATAATTGAATCACTTAACAACTTATTTAACATTTATTAGAAGTTACTAGTAAATCTATTTCCAGTGACAATATTAAAAAGAACTAGTTGAATCAATTCATCAAACACTTGGTGTGCAAGTGAATTTTCAAAATTTTTTCTTTGGTTGTGTTGATACACAAAACCACTTATAATCAAAAGTGATTATAAGCTATATCAACACTTGATTTACAATAAAAAATAGTTCGGAAAATTCTTACAATTCAATTGATAACACAATGCTATTTGACAAATTAATTAATGAATATCAAAGTACGTCTTCATAGTTTCCCACTATCGTCCTTGCATAAAGGTACGTCTGTGCCTAATTCTATTTCTTACTATGCAAAATTATTGATACAAGAGTAGTGTTTAAGAGCAACTCCATAAATCCTAATCTTGTTGTTGATTGAACCCCTTTTCATCTTTTGATCTTGATAAAGACTAATACACAATAGATGCAAATTGACCATCTAGATCTTGCTACTCCTTTACATTCTCTATCTCCAAAACTTTCACGTATCGTCAATTTCAACTATTACAACACAAGACTTCAATTTTAATACGCCATTCTCGTGCTACTTCCTTTGCTTTCTTTATCTCCAAAGGATCCCTTGTATTATTTATCTCTAAAGGACTTCACTTGACCACAATTACCTCTCGAACGTCCTGCACAAAAACCCCCAAATCAACCAATGATCTTGGATAACAAACCCATGGTTTGTTCTAGATGTAAACCCCTACAAAAATCAACCCAGTACACAATTGGACACTAATAATCCTCGTCTAGATGGTACCCAAACAGAACATCGTTACAATTTAATGTTAGTGTGTATGCATAGGTTGGAGGTTAAAGATGAAGATATAAGTATGCTAATTTTATGGTTTCACTAAATTATGAAGGATGCATGAAAGAGTATTTATAGTTTTGAAACTTTTAGGGCAAAAAGGACAAATTTAGAATTAAAAAGATTTGGAAAAATTGACCAAACAAATAGGATGTGTCGACCTATATATCGTATGTGTCGATGCATACATAAGTTTTAAAATGTATGTGTCGACTTGTATAAGGCTATATGTCGATCGAAACAAGTGAGAGGCTACATGATCTAAAACAATAGTAAATGTGTCAACCTGAAAAATGGATGCGCCGACACAAAAAATAAGAATTTCTGCAATTTCAGAAATACTTCAGTATATGTCGACATATACAATGCATGTGTCGGCCTGAGTCTTCTAGAGGCTACAAGCTTCATTTGGTCTTGTTGATGTCATAAGAGATGTTCTTGATATTTGGTCTTGACTTTATGTCCATTCTCTTCAGCACTTTATTGAGTTACCTCCCAAGTAGTACAATGGAATTTGACATTCCTTCATCAGTATCCAAATCACATTGATCCTCTTCATCTTCATCGTTGGATACAAAAGTCATGCTCTTGTTCTTCTTTTCAGATCTTTCGCTAATAGCCAATTTAAATGTTTGAAGTGACCCATCAAGTTCATCCACTCATATCATTGATGATGTCTTGGGCTTCTTCAATGGTTGTCACCTTCATGTCAAATCTCTTAGGTAGAAATCTGAAACTTTTTCTAACCATCTTTTCTTTTGACATCTTCTCCCTGAATGCACTAGATGAGTTTGCTATCTCAAGAATATTCATGTGAAAATCACGAACACTTTCATCATCTTTCATCTTTAGATTCTCAAATCTGTTAGTGAGAAGCTGGAGTCTAAACATTTTTACCTTAGATGTTCCTTCATGAGTGGTTCTGAGAATTTCCCAAGCATCTTTGGCTACAATACATGTGTTTACTTACATGAATATGTTATTGTCGGTTCCATTGAATAGGGCATTCAAAGCTTTGGAATTTCCAAGAGCAAGTTCATCTTCATCTTTAGACCAGTCTTCTTCTTGATTCAAAATCTCCTTCCCATCTTTGTCCTTCACAATAGGATGGTCCAAACCCTTTAAGATAACTTTCCAATTTTTGTTATCCATAACTTTTAGGAATGCCATAATACGATCCTTTCAATAGTCATAGTTGGTGCCATCTATGACTGATGGTTTGTTATTGAATCTTATTTCTTTATCCATGGTACTAGAAAGTATCTTTCCTGGAGCTCACCCAAAATAGAACAAAGTGTCTGTTTTGATACCAATTGAAACTCTGGTATACATATATCAGATGTCGAACCAGATGTCATGACATCTTATATCAGATCAGTCAAGCGCAATGTTATGACTTAGTAACAACATATATAACAATAACCTAGTTGTAGAAAACAACATGGATTTAAATAACACAGATAATTGCTAATTCAGTTCAATGCAATGTCACGTACATATGGGGGTATCCAAGTCAGGAAGGAAATACACTATAATAGTATTAGTTTGAAGCCCAAGTAAACAACCTCCGACTTACAATCTTCGTACCTAATCACTTCCCGTGCCATTTTTATCTAAGACACTCCTAGATATGAGATCTCTCCCATTTCCCTTCAATCACACAACAATGATAACAATTTTAATCAAATAATAGAAGAACACACTTTGAATGACACAAAATCTACTCTTACTTAAAAACTTATGAGTGATTTACAATTACAACTCAAACAAAGTCCAATTCAAGCACCTAAAAGGTACATGAATGAGTCACAATAAACACAATCCAACTCTACAATAAAGTGGATAACAAAATAACAAAAAACAAACTAAACCCTAAAACTCTTCTTTCAATACACGACTTAGTTACCAAATTAGATTTAGAAAATTTCTTTAAATAGCTAATGATAATCATGGACTTTAGACTCTTCATTCAAAAGTAACACATATCAAAACAACAACTGCAAATCATCTTCAAAATCTCCTGCGTAAATCATCTTAACATCTTATTGTGATACTTGTTTTAACAATATTGCCGCCAATCTCAAAATCACAGAACTTATAATTTTATTTTAATCAATTATTTTTAATACAATTATCAAGTTTTTCTCCCTTCTACATGTTCTTTTTCCCTATATGTAATGATTATTTAATATATTTAAATAAATAATTATTTTTATAATTAAGTAATTCATTTTAATTTTACACGTGCATCTAAATATATTTTATACAGTATCAAATACGGACACACAAATATCTTATCAATTAAAAATTAATTATAACCTCTCATCTCAACATTATCATTACACACGATTTTTCTCATGTTTTTTTCATACTTAAAATGTGAGAATTTAATATTGACACGAGAATAAAGTTCAACTAACTGTAACTTTTTACTAGTACTAACATTTATTTTATCTTTTATTTTTATAATTTCTAAATCAAATAAAACAATCCTTAAAAAATATAATTTTTTTGACAAAAAAAATAAAAAAATAAAATACTAATCTTGAAAATATTATCTAATAGAAAGAATCTCACATCCATCTAGATAAAGATGTTTTTTTCACTCTAGAATAAAACAAGAATGAAGGAGTTGAAAGGGAGGAAATGAAAACATGAAAATTTGTCAAAAAATTTCAGTTTCCCGCTTTGCACGTTCCCTCCTCCGACTCTGACTTTTAAACGGCACTTCACTGCTGTCTTTTCATCTCACTCTCTCTCTCTCTCTCTCTTCTTGCGTTTCTCTTATCTCTCTACAGTCGCAGACTCCGATTTCGATTTCGATTTCGATCCTCCACTTCGCAACCGCAAGTAAGTCCTATACTCTTCGTTTTCTACCCTATTTTCTGAATCGTTTCTCCCATTTTTACATTTTTATTTCCCTGTTCGATTTCACAACATCAAGTTTCGATCTTGTTCTGCGTTTTAATCGTAAATTTCCTTTAAAAAAATATTATTATATGATTTTTATTAGTAAGATTGGAATTTAATTAGCTGAACAATTAGGGCAAATATTACGCTGTTTATAAATTTCTCCGAAATTTAGGTCAAATAGCAAAACAATTAGGGCAAATATTACGCTGTTTATTAGAAGCTCTGAAATTTAGGTCAAATAGCAAAAAAGGTACAAACTTTGTTTTAATTTTTGGTTTTTGTTTATTTCAAACCCTTTTTAGTTCTCTATGTGATTCTAGATTATTTTTAGGGTTTGTAGATAAATTAATTCTATTTATGCTCATGTGCTAGTTTTGCATTGATTGTTTTTTATGCTTGGTGTGATTGAATCGTCTTTATAATGCTGTGTTTATGATGTTATCTTTTGTGCTAGAATGCATGTCTGTGTCATTGAGCAGAACTCTTTGATGGGTTAATTATTTTAGTTTAAGTTTCTTTCAGAAATCATTTTGTTAGATTTTTTTTTATGCTAAAAATTGTAAGCTGTTTAGATGGAGACATGCAAAACATCATTTTTGTAATTTTTAACCAAACACAATAGCTAAATCTTTTTTTATTTTAATCTATAACAAATGAGTTGAGTAATGATGGGCTGACTTAATTTTATTTTGCTGGGTCTGTGTCAATTAGGTGGAACGCAAAGTGCTGCTTGCTGGTTGTGGAATGCTAATAGACACAAGTACAAAGAGGTGTTATTTTAGTGTGATATTGAGGAAAGTTAGGTGATTGGATCTTTGACATCAATTTATAATGGAGTGCAACAAGGACGAGGCTGTGAGGGCTAAGCAAGTGGCAGAGAGTAGAATGCAAAATGGTGAATATGTAGAGGCACTGAAGTTTGCTAACAAGGCGAAAAGACTGTACCCTGATGTTGAAAACATTGCTCAGATTCTTGCAGTCTGTGAGGTTCACAGTGCTGCATTGAACAAACTCTATAGGGCTGAAATGGACTGGTATGGAATTCTTCAGACAGAGAAACTCTCGGAAGAAGCTGTCATAAGAAAACAGTACAGAAAGCTTGCACTGTTACTTCATCCTGATAAAAATAAATTTGCCGGGGCAGAAGCTGCTTTCAAGTTGATCGGGGAAGCCAATGGGATCTTGAATGACCAAGCAAAGCGGATTTTACATGATATGAAAGTTAGAGCCCATTTACAAGAGATGAAAGTTAAAGCCCATTTGAAAACTGCAGTGCCTAACACCTCATCCCATCACTCAAATGGGAACATGTTTGTTGCAAACCAAGCTCCAAATGCAACAAAATATCAGAAAAATGTTTCTTCAAATATCCCTTGTGATCCCAATCTGAAACTTCAGACATTCTGGACAGCTTGCAATCACTGTAATACCAGGTTCCAGTTCTACATATATATTAAGAATAGAGCCTTAGTCTGTCAAAACTGTAAGAAAAGCTTTATAGCTTTTGGTTTAACTCCACAGACTACCACATCATATGTACCATTTGGTGCCTCGAAAGCGGTTCCAATGCAGGTTCCACCAAAACCAGGCTCAACAAGTAAAGATGGAAATTCCCTCGGTGGTGGAAGTGCAGATACTTTTGTTCGGTCATATACTCCAAGTATGAAAACCTGTGCTACTGGAGTTGGTAAGGAACCTAAAGACGAAAAGAGTAAGGAACCTAAAGATGGAAAGCGAAAGGATGGCTATGTTCCCGTGTCCAAACCAAAGGAGTCACAAGCCTCAAAGAATGTTGGAAGTAAGAGAGTGAGACAACCAGAACCAGATTTAAAAGATAGATCCAACACTAGAAATAATGAAGAAAATCAAGATGTCAATGTTCGAGAAAATGTTGCTGATCCTTCAAGTTTGAACGTTAGAAGGTCCTCCAGACAAAAGCAACATGTTTCGTATGTGGAAAATCATGAAGATGAAAATTACAACGTTCCTTCCAAAAAGCACCGGCAAAATGAAGAAATTTTAAGGAATACAAGCAAAGATGATTGTTCAGATGATGATCCTAGAAGGTTCAAAGACGAAAACTGCTCTCCATTGAATTCAGATATTCCTTCTAGTCCAGAGATAATTGTTTGCCCTGATCCAGATTTCAATAATTTTGAGAAAGATAAGGCTGAGAATTGTTTTGCTGTTAATCAATTATGGGCAATTTATGATACCTCCGATGCTATGCCAAGATTTTATGCTTTTGTCAAGAAAGTAGCCTCCCCTTTCAATTTGCAGATTACATGGTTGGAAGCTGACCCAGATGAGGACGACGAGGTTGATTGGTTCAATGCAGATTTGCCTATTGCTTGTGGTAAATTCAAACTTGCTAATTCTCAGAAAACTGCAGACATTGGTATGTTCTCTCACCAGATTCAGTGTATAAAAGGAAATGACAAAAATTCTTACCTAGTGTTTCCCAACAAGGGAGAAACTTGGGCAATTTTCAGCAACTGGGATATCGAATGGAGTTCTAATCCAGAAAATTTTCTGAAGCATGAATTTGCTTTTGTGGAAATCTTATCAGATTTTTCTGAAAATGTTGGCATTGTAGTAGCTTGCCTAGGCAAAGTGGAAGGCTTTACAAGTCTCTATGAGAAAACTGGAAAGAATGGAGAGAACACATTTTGTGTTCTGCCAAAAGAGCTATATAGATTCTCACATCAAGTTCCTTCATATAAGATGACCGGTGATGAAAGGGAAGGTGTTCCAAAAGGATGTTTTGAACTTGATCCTGCAGCTCTGCCAGCTAACATCTTTGAAGCTGCTGATGCATGGAAGTGAAAGAGATTCCTGAATCATTGGAAGGGTAAGAACACCAGTATTAAAAAAGTGGGGGAAAACCTTTTTCCTCAAGTTATTTTTTTGGTTAAATCCATTCCTTAAAGATGGTACTTTTTCTTCCTACATACCATGTTTAGTCTAGAATTTATCCTAGTCTTGTGTTTTTTTAGTACTAATCTTTTATTGTGACTCCGTGTTCCTTAATTGTGTTTATGTACTATAGTTTCCCGATTTGCCTAAGTTCATTTTCACTCTGATGATATCGTAGCATGACAATATATTACTATCGTATAAAGATAGACCAATATAAATATTTGGGTATACTAAACCAGTCATAAATCGAATGCCAAATGTTTTATGAGAAAGAACATGAAAAGAAGATATAACTAACTGATTCTTCATGTAGATAGCAAAAACATACATTTAGAGCATTGATTTCCTGTAATAATGTTCTGCCTCAACAAAGTATCTCTAATAGGTAATCGATCCAACAACCTCCACACAAAAATAGTGTGTGCTGACACACACCCAATTGTTGCAGTTGTCCTTTTTTGGGGGTTGAGTTTGTTTTGTTTGTCAAATCTCTCATCTTATGGTTTCAATGATGTTAAATGGTCATATATTTTGTTGAAGATTAATATTATCTTGATTTTGATTTCCACTCTTTTCTCCACAATTAAGACACCAAGATGATGTTTTGAACGGTATGGTAGATTCAGTCTTTTTCTATTTTTATAATGAGATCACTTTTAATTTTAAGAAAAAGCTAACATGTACCTAAGACACAAGTTAATAACCTATTTGTAAAAATATTTTATTGGAATGTGTGTTTGAAATTTTAAACATGATTTTATTACATTTAATTATATTTAAATTCTTCTAATTATAATATCTTTAACATACGTCTTTAGTGCTCTTCCAGCAGATGTTAACATGACTCTTAATTTTAATACATAAAATATTAAATCAAGCTGAATTAATCTATATATGATCAAAATTATACAAAAATATCAAACAAACATGCAACAAATTGTGTCATTATTCTTTTTTTAATGACAAAATCATTTCTATTAAAAACTACATGCATTGTCTCAATTGACACAACATTGTTATGCATGAATATTTGCACTCTATGTAAAAAAATGTGGTGCTAGAAAATAAAAAATGTCAAATACGTGTTATGATAGCATGTTGATTATTGGAAATAGGGGTGAAAATAGACCAGAACGATTTACAAAGGCTTATGGCTTAGCCTATTTAAGGTCGGGTTAGATCAAACTTATTTACTAAAAAAGTCATGCTTAAGTTATATATATATATATATATATATATATATATATATATATATATATATATATATATATATATATATATATATATATATATATATATGTTTACTGTAGACTAGGTTCAGGCCTTATGAAGTCCAGTCTAGCCTATTTTCACCTCGAGTTGGAACATGTTTTTTCATGGTTTTTGCCACTTTACTTGCAACGGCATTGAGAGCTATCTATTTCATAATAAAATCTCTAGTTCTTAATCCCACTAGTGAAAAACTCCATTCAAGTCTACAAATGCTTGTTTCCTTCCTATTTATCCAAACACTAGAATATCTGCTGACCTAAGAGTCGATCTCTCCTCCTGTGTGTCAGTCTAGAAATTCAGAGGCTCCTCTTTCTTCACATATACCCATGCACGTCTAAATATATAAAATATGACATTTCTAACAAAGTCATGTCAACATATAAATCCATGAAGCTCTTTGATCAGTGCATTTTGATGCACGTTCTCTTACGTTTGTATTTAGGCATTTTCCTTGTTTGTTTTGTTTATTTAATTATTTTATTGTGTTTTTAGAATTAAGTCTTTGTTTGCCTTTAATATATTTTTGTTTGTTGTTTTCAGCTTTAGCGGTTACTTGATACCTGTCCACTGTTCGGATCATAACTGAAGCTACAAGAATCAGATCGACGCGTTCTAATATACGTTGGAAAATTAAGAGGTAGAGCTACAACTTTCATGTTGGAGTTAAAAGCTGATTCCGAGTGCATAAGTCTCAGTAATTCGTTGAAGTTTTTGACTTTATAAATTTAGTTATTTCAGGCCGATTTTGAGTCGATTTTTTAATGTTTTTTGGTCCAATTGGGTTAAGACCGAACTCATTGTTTCCATATACCTAGTGGCCTAATTACAATTCACTTCTCTCTCGTTTACTGTTCATTGAATTATTTTACAAAAATTTGGCATATTTGTAATGGAGAGCTAAGAACCAAGGATCTATCTACTGTTTATGTTTTCGTCAAAACTTTAAGGTTTTATAATTTCAATCCAATTTCTTTTCCCTTTCAATATTCTTCTATATTTCTTGTTTGTTTAATTCGAGTTATATAAAATGTTGTTGATTTAATTCGATGATTGTGTCTTCCTATAATTTAATCGCGTTTGCTTAATCCGCGTAATCGTGTTTGTTTAATTCATGATACTTAATTCATTTGCTTAATTATGAAATTAGGAACTTACATTGCATAGTGTCAATTTTGCTTGTTAATTGGTACTGTAATCGAATAGGGATTATAATTTGCTTAGGGATTGGATTTATAATTGCCGATGATAAGTTGAGAACCCGAACAGTGGGTTGATTTATTTTAGCTTATTTGATAATCACTTTTTTGCATTATTTTCCGAATTGAATCCTAAACTCAAAATCCCTATTGTTTCATTCAGTTGGTTAATAATAATAATAATAATACAATAATCCTCGAGAATGATACTGGAGTTATCGTTACCGTTAACTACATTTTTAAAAAATACTCGTTTTTGATCCGTGCGTGACAGCGAATCACTCTTTTAATGAATAATGTGTTCCTTAAATGTATCAAAGCATGCCTTGTGACAAACAAGGAAAATCTCATCAACAAGAAATATGGGAATTATAAGTTGGTATTTAAAATGGTATGAGACTCTACCAGAGACATATGCTGACTTAGATCATCAATAGGGATAACAAAGAGAAAATCTTGAACATGTGCTGCTTACAAACAATCAAAAATTACTTTCTATTTTATGATCATGTCAAACTTTACATTCATGTCCTAAACACGTTATTCATTACAGAAAAATATGGGGCAAACAAGATTGTTCCTTCCTTAATCTCACACCACCTAAAAATAAGATTGTTTATGGAATATTTAAATGGACTATTAACTAGATGGTGTGTATGGATTCACGCAATGATTTACCCCTTCTTCTGAACACTTTGACCTTCACACTTTTTGTCATGATATCTGTAATCTAATTCTCAATTTTGCAGTGTTTCAAGTTCATGTTTCCTTCTGCTACATACTCTCGAAGATAATGAAACCTTATTTCGACGTGATTGCTTCTTCCATGTGCTATCAGATTATTTGTCATATTGATAGCTGACATGTTGTCGATCTTTATAATAATTACTCCACGATCCTTCCCTGTTATCTCTTCGATCAAGTTCACCATCCATGTTATTTGACATACACAAAAAGAAGCAGCTATGTACTCTGCTTCATACGATGATAGTGCCACTACTGGTTCTTTTCTCAAACACTAAGCAACTGGTGCACCACCTAGCATAAACACATAGCCTGCTACAAATTTTCGATCCCCAACATCACTACACTAACTTAAGTCGGTGTATCCCACTAACTTGAATTCTTTTCCTTTATCAGCTGTAGGAAACAAAATGCCATAGCCGAGGGTTCCTTCCAGATACCTTACTATCCTCTTTGTCGCTGCTAGATGTGATACCTTTGCCTTCTGTATGAATCTACTCACCATACATGCACTGTATGCTAAGTCAGGTCTTGTGTGACAAAGGTACCTTAATGACCCAATAAGTCTTCTATATTGGGTTGGGTCGAAATCATCTTCATCTGAAACTTTTGATAGTTGCAGTATCGGTTCAACGGGTATCGAAGTCGAGTTGAATTCTTCCATCTAAAATATTTTGAGTATTTCATTTGCATATCTTCTTTGATACATCATAAAACCACTACTACTCTTTTAGAATTCTATGTCAAGGAAGTATGAAATGTCTCCCAGATCAAACATTTTGAATTCCTTACTGAGATCACCTTTAAAGTCTTTGATCTCTTTCTTGCAACTACATGTTATCAACAAGTCATCGACATAGAGATATAGTATAAGCAATTCACTCTTGCTTCTTCTTACATATACTCCATTCTCAATTGTGCACTCCATAAATTCCTTCTCCATTAGGAAAATGTCAATCTTCTTATTCCAAGCTCCCGTAGCTTGTTTGAGTCCATACATTGCTTTATCTAGTCTATACACATTTCTTTCTTTGCCATGCTTCACAAAACTAAGTGTTTGTGCAATATAAACTTATTCATCTAAGGGTCCATTTAAGAATGCATATTTCACATCCATCTCACATATGTGCCAACTGCTTATTTCTGCTAGACCAACAACCAACATAATTGTTTTGATTCTAGCCACAGGTGCATAAACTTCATCAAAGTCGATTCCTTCTTTTTGAATAAATCTTTTCGCAACAAGTCTTACGTTATGTCGAATTACCTCTCCTTTAGGATTCAACTTAAACTTGTATACCCACTTGAAATCAATTTCCTTCTTCTCTTGAGGTAATTAGACAAGTGACCAAGTGTTGTTGACTTCGATGGACTTAAATTCCTCACTAATAGATTTCACCCACTTCGAATTCTTCAATGCCTTAGCTGAATTGACTGGTTTCGACATCTGCATAGAAAACATAATGTACCAGCTCATCTTTACTATCGACCACATCATCTGATGTAATCACATATTCCTGAAACCTTACAGGTATGCGTCTTGTTCTTTGAGGTCTGCTTGGGCCTGCATCACCTCTCACTTCTTCTTGTCGAACTTTTTTTTCTTTCGACTTTAGTGACTGGTTCTTCACATAAGATTCTTACTAAATAATTATTTACATTTTCATTCCAATACCATTCCTTAAGCTCATTTAT